GTGGTATTTACCGTTTCTCCGAACTACTCAAAATTTCTACTACCAGTTCTCTGGAACTGATCAGAACCTGCTGAATACCACCTCTGACTTGCCCCGCCCCCATCTATTCTCTGCCTCCCGAGTCCCAGCTGATCAGGAGGAAATGTGGATTTTGCAGTAATCTTCCCCTGGAGTGGGGAGGGAATGGAGATTTTACAGTATTCTTCCCCTGCCACGCTCACCAAGCCACGGCCACAGAACCAGTAGTAAAAAAAATTGAATCACACCACTGGATTATTTAGTGAGGCTAAAACCAATTTTGTTGTGTACATGATGTACAATGACAATAAAGGCTATACTATATACTATCTCTATGGAGTGAATGGAGTGGAAATGAGACAGAGACATGTCAGTAGCAACCTGATGATGCTCTGTAAAGATTTTTTTTTCTCCCAACCTGTTTTAGAAACATGATCAATCCTATGGAATGTTATAAGTCAAATTACTAATAATTTCTGAAAGGTGCAGAAAGTATGTACTGGATTTGCAGGCAGTCCTACAACATTAACTTTGTGGCCTTCAGAGTCACTCAAAATAGATGGGGCTAAATGTTTGGGTCATTTTTCTCCCCATTTTGGCGAAGAATTTATGGGACAAAAGATTTCAAGCTTTGCTAATGCATAAATCCTCTTTGAAACTCCTTTGCCAAATGCCCTCCACATTTCTTATGGGCTCAGTCCATGCAACCTTGAGACTACTTTTCACGATTTGATCTGGTATCAACTATTGGAGCTGCTCTCTATCCTACTATTACTTCCAACTATTTTTTTCCTTATCTTATTTTCGGTATGGAAGACTTTTCCAGTCATATTGTCAACTCTGAAGCAAACCTGGCTGAGACCATCTTTGCGGCTTGCCACAAGGTAGAGGAGGGGAAGGGGAAATAGATAGCTCAGCTTTGCTGTCAAAACAAAGTTTTCCTGTGGGAACCAAGGTCATTCCAATAGGTGGCTGAGAGAGGAGGAGTGGAATAACTTAGCAACCTACCAGCACCTCTATTGGACATTGTGACTGATGACATGCGGGGGAAGGAAGAACTTCCACTTTTTAATTAGGTGAAAACCACGTGAACTTTCAGAGTTGGTTTTCACCGGTTGTGCCAATATGATATATCCAATAAACCTGTTCTTTGAGGATTCTACCTTCCTCACAGTTCTGTTTTCAATGGGCATGTTACTTGGAACACTGACACATATGTTGAAGGTGTAGTAAATGTTCTTGGATTAGAAGTGGATAAAACAGGAAAAGATCCTAGCAGTGAGCTAGGATGGAGGAAAAATTATTCCTAATGGGGAATAAAATAAAGAAAGAACAATTAGGATATTATGCATTCATAGATAGGTATTTGGGGAAAGAAAATTATGAGTTTCCCAGAGGAAAACCAGCACTCGAAACCTGACGGAGGTGCTAATTGCCTTAGTTTGTATTTATATACTGCCTAAAACAAATTGCATTGAAGTGTGAGTTAAGCAGTTTTATGAAAGGGGGAAAAAAGGAGAAGGGGAGGAAGGGGAGGGGGGAAGAGAGTAACAAATCTTTAGGCGTGTGCAAGTATCATTAAATTTAATAGTATTTTTAGACAGTAATTAAATTGCAGAGATTTCATAGCTGAAGATAGAAAGGTACATTTAAGAATCTAGATAGTAATTTTGAAAATGATATTTTTACAGGGGAAAGAAAATTCTTTTCTTAATTTTGGTTATATTGCATAGTGACTAAAATATATGGAGGTACGAAGCAGAAATAAGTTGAGGGAATTCATTTATGCATGTGTGATTAGGAAAAATTAGATGCTGCATTTTTACAGCTTTTTATCTATGAAGCAGATGCCAGCATGCTGTAGTTAATACAATATACCCCAGGATATGTTATGGAACCATAAATACTTGCCTTGAGATCTTTGTTTCTCTGGAAATCTTTTCAAAATTATATTGAGTTGTGTTTCTGCTCTAACAAGATGTGTTCTGTAGATAACCAACATTTCCCCCCTTGCTTCTTTGCTCTAACCCTCATACCAATTTGACACCTGGATACCATGATGCTACTGTTTTACCTCATGTTGTAACAATCACCTCAGTCGTGCACTTGTTAAGGGGATTAGACAAGTGCTTCTCTCTGCAATACAGAGTAAAAATATTGACTTACTTTAAGGCACTGAGTTGCACAACCACAGAATCTGGTTTATGAACAAGCAGAAGGGCAATTTAGAGGTTTTATGTATCTTAATGTGAATTGGCTGGTTAGCAGAGCAATATGTCAAACGATTTGGGAGAAATTCTCTTCCTTCTCCTCCTGGCAATCCAGTATCGTAGTTCTCCTGAGTTCTATTTATTGGCTTTAGGGATTCCGGTTTCTGCATTTCTTGAAAACAGTTTCTGGTGCCCCACTGGGTAATTTAGTGCCTTCACTAAGTCATATTATTAGTGACTTTGAAACTGTAACTGTTTATTGTAGATTGCTCTTTCTATATTGTGCATCAGCTATTGAGGAGGGAGATTTAATTTATTTCTGGGGGGGGGGAGGAGGAGGTTCCTCATCACTGATGCTTTAAATGTTTATCCAGAATTAAATTGCATTTCTATGAGAAAATTCAGAACTGAGGGGAAAAAATCCAAATGCATTATCCACATCTCATCTGGCAAGGGGAAAATTATACAAGTATTTGTGTGTAAATATCTATATATGTGTGGAAAGTTTGTTTTTTTAATCTTTTTTAATCTTCAGCTCCTGGATTGTTAAAGAGTTCAGTGGGTAAGGAAACTATAAATTTCTATGTGATTTAAGGATGACAATTCATTCCTATGAAAAGAAGAGGATTATCACACATTTTAAATAGCTAAACGTAAAGGTTCCCCTCGCACATATGTGCTAGTCATTCCCGACTCTAGGGGCTAGTGCTCATCTCCGTTTCATAGCTGAAGAGTCAGGGCTGTCCAAAGACGTCTCCGTGGTCATATGGCCAGCATGACTAAATGCCGCATGCGCACAGAACGCTCTTACCTTCCCACCAAAGGTGGTTCTATTTTTCTACTTGCATTTTTACATGCTTTCGAACTGCTAGGCTGGCAGAAGCTGGGACAAGTAATGGGAGCTCACTCCGTTACCTGTCGCTAGGGATTTGAACTGCCGAACTGCTGACCTTTCTGATTGACAAGCTCAGCGTCTTAGCCACTTAGCCACCATGTCCCTATTTTAAATAGCTACTTTCCTATTTTTTCCTATTTGTATCATAATCTGTTTATGAGATTCCAGATGAATCTAGCTAGAGAAAGCCTTGATTTGGCTGATCCAGGGAGGTGTTTACTTGAGGAATGGACACTTCAATGGGCATTTCACAAAACGAAAGACAAAATCTCTTCCTACACCTTTTGCACAAGTTTTTTCCTTTCACCCAAGGCTTGTTACAAGCTAGGAGTACTATGTTCTAGAAAGGAACAAATTAGTTAATGAACACTTCTTAATTAATTTATTAGTGAAAAAAAGGTTGAACAAATTGAAATAATTTGTTACAAATTACTTGTCTGCTTTGAAATGTTTGAAAAAAATGATCACAGCTGTGCATGTTTCAAAAATTATATGGAAAGAGTCTGTTTTAAGCCCTGAGAAACTTGTAAAAGTCAACCTCTGTCAGAGTGGAAGCCATCTTTTACATTGGGCCTTCAGGCCTGCCACATTCAAGGCTGGGGGAAAATGGGAGGGGGGATTATATGGAGTATGGGAGATATATAGTCAAAATAACATCCTTTTCTCAGAGTCAAGGATGTCTTGACCTGCAGCTATGATGAGGTAACTGGGTGGCAACTCCAGTTTTGGATGGTGTCTGATTGGATCATGTGATGGACATATGGGTGTTGGGCATGGACCTGAACTTTCTTTTGAGTGGGGAAAACCTGGAAACTTTCAGATTTGGGTTTTCCCAGATGTGCCAATATAACATCTATAAAAAATGGAACTTTGAGGAAACTCAAACCCAGAGTCTTCTTTCATTGGGGGTGTTACCTGGAACCCTGACAACCTCTTGAAGCAATGATGCTTCCTTATGTGCTTGAGCAGGAGCTTAAAAGAGAGCAGAGTTTTCATGCTTGTTCTAGAATATCTTATCCTGAATATTTTTTGAAAGGTTTATGTGAATAATATTAAAAATAATCATCTTGTCTTTCCTGATAGGACTTAAAATCTAACAGTCACCGAGATGAGATTGCAGCAGCACGGGCTTCTCTGAAGGAGTCTTCACCTCTTCTGCATTCAGTTTGCTCTGCTTGCTTGGAACACTCTGATGTCGCCTCTCTCACGGCCAGCAAGGACTCTGTTTGTCAGGAAATACAAAATGCTCTTGATGTCATCTCCAAGGCCTCTCAAGGAATTGAACATCCAAAAGTCCAACAGGTGCCACAGTCAGCCTCTCTCGGAAGTGCTCTCGATGAACTTGCGGTAGGACAATCACATTATCTTTCAGTAACGTAATTTATTTTAAACACTTGGGTTTATTAATATAGAAATCCTGTTTTGTTGAGTTTTTTTTCTCCTGTAGTATTTTTTTAAACTCTCTTCTCCCCTAGATTATTATTTTTGGTGAATAGCATCCATACCTTCCTCATTTTGGGGGGAAAGTCTGTTTTCTTTGCTCCCTGAAAATTAGGGATGAACATGGATACTAAAAGGGGTGGGATTCTACCGGTTCGGCCCGGTTCGGGCAAACCTGTAGCTCTGAAGATCAGCTGAAAGCGAACCTGTTTGCTCCGACCTTCAGTTGTGCCCGCCCACCCCCGGATTATATTCACCTATATTTCCTTGGTTTTTAGCCCAGCTGATTGGTGTGGCAGAGTGAAGCGCACACTCAGCAAACCGGTTGTTAAAGCGGTAGGATCCCACCCCTGAGCTCAATGGTTTTTATTGTACATATTGTACAGAGTTACTTTTGGAATTTGGACTTAGCACAGACAGATGCTTTTGTTGGGCCTCATATCAAACTGATAAACAATCGACAAAGTAACAAAATCGCCAAAAAAATTTAAAAAGGGAAAATTGAGCAATACTATTAAGCTCTTCTCAAGCCTGTTTTCTTCAGAAGCTCATTTTTAATTCTATTTTTTATATTTTATCTTATTATGTAACTAATGTGTGTACACAGACATTAAAACCAGCATATTAATAAAAAACAAAAACAAAATCAAAATCAAAAAGGAAAGGAGAGGGAGAAGGAAATTATGTTACAAATTGAAAATCTCCAAAAATGTTACTTATATTGCTAAGAATTCAACTTTTTACTCTTTTGTCCACAAAGCTAACTCAAATATTGATAGCACATCTTACATTTGTTTATTTTATTAATAAACATCAACAATCCATAGCTGAAAATTTATACAATTTCCAGTCCTGCTCATAACTTATATCCTCCTCTTCACACTTTTGTTTCCTTTCTCTATATCACACATTTATTCATTTATTTAGCGCAAGGCATACATGTTCAGATTTATTTTGTTTTTTATTTTATTTTTAGGCATTTTTCAGCATGGGCACTCAATGTCTATATTAAAAATAGAGAGAGAAACCAGTGGTGCAGATGTGTTAAATTTATATTTTACTGACAAAGAAATAAAGTATAGATCTATTTCAAACTTGCTATCATCAGCCAGCCATACCCTTCCAGGATTTGAACCTGGGCTGTTTGCATATTAGGTAAATGTATTAATTTCTAAGCCACAGGTTCTCCTTGCTGTGTCAGCTGTACCAGGGGAGAGATTAAGGTCTTTTTCTATCAAGGCAACCTGGTCTACCCAAATATGGAAAGAAGCATACTGCTTCCCTTTCATCCCCAATCCAGGAACCTGTGCAGGCAGTCACTTTCATGACAAACTATTTTGTGTTAAATTTATATTTTACTGACAAAGAAATAAAGGGAGACAAGTATAGATCTATTTCAAACTTGCTATCATCAGCCAGCCATACCCTTCCAGGATTTGAACCCGGGCTGTTTGCATATTAGGTAGATGTATTAATTTCTAAGCCACAGGTTCTCCTTGCTGTGTCAGCTGTACCAGGGGAGAGATTAAGGTCTTTTTCTATCAAGGCAACCTGGTCTACCCAAATATGGAAAGAAGCATACTGCTTCCCTTTCATCCCCAATCCAGGAACCTGTGCAGGCAGTCACTTTCATGACAAACTATTTTGTGTTAAATTTATATTTTACTGACAAAGAAATAAAGGGAGACAAGTATAGATCTATTTCAAGCTATTTAGCTCTCATCAGTTAGCCATACCCTTCTGGGATTCGAACCTGGGCTACTTGCATATTAGGTAGATGTATTAACCTCTAAGCGGTAGTGGTACAGATGTTGCTTAGATTTCCATTTTACTATTTGTTGGACTGCATTTCCAAAAATTCCTTATCATAGGATGGGCTTGATGGGTATGATAGAAGCTGCAGGTCTACAGGTTCACCCCTTGTATGATTTGTTTGTA